CACTTGTTGCTGACCCTGGTCTCAACTGTTACAAGTTAAACAACAAGCTGAACTGTGACGTAGATCCAAACAGCCAAGATAGCCCAAAAAGTGAAGTGATTAAAGCACATTACAATCTCGGTTTCTAATGGAAACCACTTGAGGAACCGGAGAACATTTGAGAACCTATGTGGAAACCGTAGATGCCAGTGGTTAACAGATGTGCTTGTGTCCACTTTAGCAGCACCAGTTGCTTGTGGCAAAAGATGCAAAACAGTGAAGACACGCAATTTAAGTTTTCTCAAATTTGTGTTCAGTTGTGAGGCAGGTGAAGAGCCAGCACCGCAGATGATGTGGCGCTGCATGGAACCATCACATGTTAAACCGTACCGATAAACCAGGGTAAGAGCTTTGGCCAGTTGACTTTTTATGTCAGATCTGAATTTAAGCTTGTAAGTTTTTTTTTTTTTTTTTAAATGTCAAATGCAATCACTAGTTCTTGAAGAGCATAGTACTCTGTGGTGGTACATCTTATAACAAGTTTGAAAAGTTTTATAAAGTTTTTATTTATTTATTTCCAAAGCAGTAAAATCTTGGTTATGCAAATCGGTGTTCAAAAAAATGTCAAGAGCTTGACTTTGTCAACACTCATAAGAGCATTTATTCACAAAAAATGGTTCTGATGTACAAAATGTGTATACAAAGTTATTTTTCAGGTAAGTTAAACTATCATGATTTGCCCCCCTGGAAAGTCTCGTACTGTTTTTAGTGAGGTTAGTTAGGACGGAATGACATGAACATGCACAGTTTTAGGAGATGTTTCAAACTATTGCATGCAGTGGTAATCAGCAGACCATCTTGTATAAAAATAATCCACTTTCTTGTATGAGCTGATATCAGTAAAAGCAGCTAACTGTGGACAAGCACAACTATAATAGTATTAACTGTGATGTTCACAGAGCAGCTTTTTATTTGAACGGTGTCATACAGACTGCTGTAATAACACATACATCTACAATACATGTAGGCCTGGGCCAGTATGAGGTGTAGACTGTAGGATAACTTTGAGCAAAAATACTACTGTTTCACTGCAGTACAATGTTTAAAAAATATTTAAAAAAGGGATTTACTTACTTTTATTTAAAACTGTCATTCGTCAAGAAGGTAGAACTGAGGGTTGCAACTCTAAATGTGGGGACAATGACAGGCAAAAGTAGAGAGCTGGCTGACATGATGCAGAGAAGGAAGGTAGATGTTTTATGTGTCCAAGAGACCAAATGAAAGAGCAGCAAGGCTCGCAGCATTGGAGCAGTGTTTAAACTGTTTTACCATGATGTGGATAGAAAGAGAAATGGAGTAGGGATGATCCTGAAGGATGAGTTGGCAACAGATGTAGTAAAGGTGAAGAGAGTTGTCATATAGAGTGATGTGTCTGAAGGTAAAAGTAGAAGGTCTGATGCTAAATGCTGTCAGTGGTTATGCTCCACAGGTTGGATGTGATGTGGAGGAGAAAGATCCATTTTGGAAAGATCTGGATGAAGTGATGGAGAGTATTCCCAGGGAGGAGAGAATGGTGATTGGAGCAGACCTGAATGGACATGATGGTTGAAGGAAACAGAGGGGATGAGGAAGTGATGGGTAGGTTTGGTCTCAAGGAAAGAAACTAGGAAGGACAGATGGTGGTGGATTTTGCCAAGAGAATGGAAATGGCTGTAGTCAACAGCTATTTCCAAAAGAGGGAGGAACATAGAGTGACCTATAAGAGTGGAGGAAGGAGTACGCAGGTCGACTACATTTTGCATAGAAGAGGAAACCTGAGGAAGACTGGAGACTGTAAGGTTGTGGCAGGGGAGAGCGTGGCCAGAAAGCATCAGATGGCTGTGTGTAGAATGACTGTTGTTGTGAAGAAGAGAAAAAGAGTAAAATCAGAGAAGAAGACCAAATGGTGGAAGCTGAAGAAGGAAGAAAGTTGTGAGAAATTCAGAGGAGCTGTTAAAGGCTCTGGGTGGTAAGAAAGAGCTTCCAAATGATTGGACTACTACAACAACAGTAACTCGAGAGACAGGTATGAAGGTACTTGGTGTGTCATCTGGACAGAGAATGAATGATAAGGAAACCTGGTGGTGGAAGAGTGAAGAGCAGGATGCCGTTCAAAGAAAGAGATTAACCAAGAAGAAATATGACAGTGAGAGGACTGAAGAGAGGAGACAGGAATATAAGGAGATGTGATGTAGAACAAAGAGGGAGATGGAAAATGCAAAGCAAAAGGCGTATGATGAGCTGTATGGGAGACTGGACACTAAAGAAGGTGAGAAGGACTTGTACTGATTGGCAAGACAGAGGGATCAGGCTGGAAAGGATGTGCAGAAGGCTAGTCTTGTTAAAAATGGAAATGGTAATGTTCTAACAAGTGAGGAGAGTGTGATGGGAAGATGGAAGGAGTACTTTGAGGAGCTAATGAATGAAGAGAATGAAAGAGAAAGAAGAGTAGAGGTCATAGAAACTGTGGATCAGGAAGTGGGAAAGGTTAGTGAGTGTGAAGCCCGGAAAGCTCTGAAAAGAATGAAGAAGAAGAAGGCAGTAGGACCTGAGGACATATCATTGGAGGTTTGGAAATGTCTTGGAGAGATGGTAGTAAGGTTTTTGACTCAAATATTCAGTGGTATATTGAAAGTGAGAAAATGTCTGAGGAATGGAGGAGAAGTGTGCTGGTGTCCATTTTTAAGAACAAGGGTGATGCACAGAGTTGTATCAACTACAGAGGAATTAAGTTGATGAGTCACACAATGACGATCTGGGAGAGAGTTGTGGAAGCAAGACTTAGATGAGAGGTGACTGTGAGCAGCTGTATGGTTTCATGCAAAGAAAGAGCACCGCAGATGCCATCTTTGCATTGAGGATGCTGATGGAGAAGTACAGAGAGGGTCAGAAAGAACTTATTGTGTCTTTGTTGATTTAGAAAAAGCATATGACAGAGTGCCGGGCTTGTGATGGACTTGTGACCTGTCAAGGGTGTTCCCCGCCTCTCGCACAATGACTGCTGGACATGGGCACCAGTGACCCGTGCAATCCGAAAAGGAAGAAGCGAGTAAAGATAATGGATGGATAGTCAATAGCCTGTTGTAATACAATGATTAAAAAAAAAACAGATTGTTGACAACAATAAGGATATGATTCACCATGAGCAGCTTGTTTTGTAATGCTCTTCACATAAATGTACTATTCACTTGGAAAGGTTCTCTGTTCAGACAGTTTTCTGTTTGGTCGACTGCTATGTGCCCAGAAACAAGGTGTGTTTCTCTTAGAGAAAAAAGAAGTAAAATCTGTCATCTTCCTTTCTTACCGGGTCGACAACATACACGAAAACACAAGATCAGTGTATTTATTATTCTGAAGTTAATCATCCTGTCAGTGTCAGAGTGGTTAGAGCTGTCACCTCACAGTGCCAACCTGGAGGTCATAAGTTCATCTTCAGGTTGTTCTGGGTGGAGTTTGCATGTTCTCTCAGTGTGAGTGAGAGAGTGAATGTTTTTTTTTTTGTCTTGTTTGTCTCTTTGTGTCCCTGTGATGGACTGAACCTGTCCAGGGTCTCTCAGCCTCTCACCCAATGACTGATGGACATAGGTACCCACTCCCCCATGACCCAGAAAGGTGAAGAAGATAAAGAAGGCGCATGTATGGACGATTGTTCCTATTGCACTGAATTTTTCTACTGCTGCTCTTAGTAAATGTTGAGAGCCTGCCAAGCCGATGTTAGCCAATTAATTAGCTGGTTTTTAGCATCTGTAGTGATCCTGCAGTAGCCATATATATTTCACCTGCTAACATGCTAACTCTTGTAGCTTGTTGCAAATACTTGTTCCAAAATAGTGCTACTTGAAAAAGAGAGAGGGATCTCGCTCCTCCAGCTGCTTGGTAAATGTACAACCAATCAACTTTTTTTATTGAGCATAAACAGTTAAGAGAGCTCCTTCTTGCTCTGATTTAAGAGACGGGCCCAGTAATAGAGAGGGAATATTGGAAAAAAATATAATCATAGTTTATGGTATAATGTTTTTATGCATTTAAACAGTTGGACTGGTGTAACAAAAAAGTGTGAGGGTTTTGACACGGTGACTTTTTAAAACTGTGGAGTACCTCAAACTTGTAACCAGTCAATGCCCAAGTATGTACATGTTATTTTGGAGTAAAATAAAATGCTGCCTGACATTTTCACTTCTTGGCAAATTTTAAACTTACTTTTTAAAAATCTTGCAGATCCTCAGATTCTGTCATTCTGTATTGACCGTTACTGTCCTGACAGTGTCCTGTTGTCCGGCGGCCTTTATCTGTGTTTTGTACTCGTCTGTTAATCATTGATTGTAACTATACACAGAGCTTTGAGGGAGTCTATTTTCTCCCTTAATCCCAACTCACTCCATAATGTAGGTTTTATGCCAGATGGAGCGTTTTTCTGTCAGGATCAAACTGAGCCAGTTCTGGTCCACCTTAATAAAGCCAAACTTTCACACTATTTTTGGAAAAGTGTTTTTTCTTCCTCTATCTATGTGTACTTGAATTTCTCAGTTATATGAAACTTAATTTTATTTCTTTCTTTTCCTGTCAGTTTTGAAAAGGAAAGTATTTAACAAGTATAAGGGAGCTAATGAATCAGGAAGACTTACCAGAGAAAGAAGACATTAGCTTTACTATTTAGATCAGAGATGTCTCTTGGGTTAATTTAATTTATCTTCACCTTCATGATAAATATTTTTCATCCTCAAATCTTCTACAATATATGTGTTTGCTTTTTCTCTTCAGCATCAGAAGAAGCCGTGGAGATAGGCCTGGCAGTGGAGACTCTTCCTATTATTGGTCTATGATCATTGGCTGAGCCACAAACATCTGGAGTTTTGTGAGCCCTTTGGCTTGCATCCATTTCCTCCACCCTGCGCCCCTGCAGCGTGGCCTCTACAAACCTCTCGTCTCTTCATCATAATTTCGTCCAGGGGGATAAATGAGTGAGCCGGTTGTAAGGGAAAGGGCTGGAACATGTACCAGAACCCTGACAGGTAACTCTCCTACAGGCGGGAAAAGATGGAAATGATGTCTGTCAGCACCGTGACTGTTGTCTGTTTCTCTGCTCACACAGAATGTCCTGGTTCAGTGGTCTCCTAGTTGCCAGAGTGGACGACCGCAAGACTGCGTGGGGAGAGCGCAATGGCAAGAAATCCAAACGGAAGGGAGGCTCATCTCTCTGCAGCCCGCGTTACATGAGCTGTCTGCGGGACCCAGATGCTATGGAACCCCCTTCCGGAGCCCCCCTCCAGCAGCACCATCGCGGAGTGGGGGCTGGGGCCATGGGAGGCGGGGGAAACCTCGGCGTCCGCTGTGGATGGCAGGAGGACCACTATGGCAAAAGAGGAGGTTGTTCTGGGGAAGGCGTGGGGCTCAAATCTGTCGATTTGGGCTTTGAGGATGGGGAGTTGAAAGGGAGGAAAGGAGGGTGTAATGGAGGAAGTGGCGACATGGGCAACGAGGGTCCCAATGGTGCAGGAGGGGTGATGACGGCTGCAGACTGCTGGCTCAGGGTGGTGCGAGTGTTCCAGTCGAAAAAATTCCAGTCTCGCAAACTGGAGCGCCTATACCAGCGTTACTTCTTTAGGCTGAACCAGAGCTCCCTGACCATGCTAATGGGCGTGCTTGTGATCGTGTGCGGCATTATGCTGACCTTCCACTGTGTCCACGCCACTCCTCACGTGGCCTATTCATCAGCCCTGTCGGTGGCCATGGCTCTCTTCATGGCTCTCATGGTGGTGTGTAACCGTAACGGCTTCCACCAAGACTACATGTGGATGGTCAGTTACCTGGTGATCGGAGTCTTGGTGTCGGTACAAGTGTTCGGGGTCCTCATGGTGGCACCCAGGAGTGCTTCAGAAGGAATCTGGTGGTCTGTGTTCTTTATCTACATCATCTATACTCTGCTGCCTGTGAGGATGAGGGCAGCGGTCCTGAGCGGAGCGGTGCTGTCCATCATACACGTGGTCACAACCTGGCAGATCAACCAGGAAGACAAATTTCTCTGGAAACAGGTAGGAGAAGTTTGATGTCCTGATGTCTTGTCTTTGGTTTTCACATGGATAAGTCTCTTAGCATTGTGCTGTACTTGGATCATTTTTACTTTTGAACTCTCACCAGCTAAAAATAAAAGCGAAATTCTGCACTTTTAAAAGTCAATGGCAACAATTTTACATCATTAAAAAGCACAAAAGTTGATAATTAACCTTCAAAGTTTCAACAACCAACTGGTTGTGTGTCAGCTGTTATGATATTCTTTGTGGACACGTGTATTTAAGTAAACACATGCAACATTTTATTACAACGCAAAAAATTTAATGCAAAGCATTTTATATTGATCTCATCGGGTACAGTCAGTGTCAATGACAATTAATTTAGACAACTAACCAACTAAGTTTACTGGCACTCTATAAGTTAATACTATTATGATAAACATTTTATTTTCCATTGACAAAGATCCTAACATCATACGTCTAAAATTTTAGGTCTCAAAAATGACATTTTCTTTAGCCACCTATGGTTAAATGTTGACATTATCGTTTATATGTTCAATTTATTTCCATAAATTTGAAATTAAAAATTACAACTAGCACTCTTAGCTTTGGATTGCTACCTCACATGAACTATTGGAAACTCCTTTGCCTTTTCCACAGCGTACAACAACTAACAAAAACTTTAGAAGAGCACCTTAAGTACTTCAGGAAACATATTTTAACATTTATTAAATTTTTGTTGTGTTGTCAACCAACTTGGACAAAAATTGTTAACTTTGTGGAAACAAGGGTTCAAATGTAAAACATTTTCTTCATAAATGATGTCTTTATGAGAGTAAAGGGATTATTAAAGATTGTGTTCAAGAATGCTTATGCAATTAAATACCATTTTTAGCATTTCACATAAGCCTTACTGCAGTTATAGTCCGTAAAAATGGAGAGAAATACACTCAAACAAATCAGTATAGCTAAGTTTTGTTGTGGGGTTTTTCTTTAGTCGCTTTTGACCTACATATGTTTGTTTTTAAATAATTTGTTTAGACAAGTTTGATCTAAAAACTGAAATGTTTTGATACAAATGTTTTTGGTTAAAAGGCCACTTTTACACAGAGGTACCTCTCTACACACTCTGCCTGCTTCCAGTCACAATAGCACTCGTTTCATGTGATGTTCCTCCTCACTTTATGAATCATTGTCCACTGTTCAGTGTCAGTCTTGCTTTTGTTTTTTTAGCTTTTGAAGGAAATATTAGCCGCTCTGGACGTTAGTGTCATCAGTATTTTTCATTACATTCTCTGTCTGCTGATGTTATTGAGCCTATTGCAATAAAACAGACAAAAAATAAGACTTGCGTCACAAAACAATGAGCTAAAACATGCTAAATGTTCCACTGAGCCAAGAGACACTTTTATTATTGGACATCAATATTTTTTTGTTTAATTGGGTATAGGGCTGGGCCATATCATATCGTTCACGATAATACCGGTAAAAAAAAAAGCTTGCCCGGGTAAAACAATATCATGATATGCTAATTTCATGACGTAATACGTCAGGGCGTCCCGCCCCTTTAACAGAACCGTGCGTGCCGAACAACAAAACCGAACTGCCCCCCCCCCGGGTACTGGTGTGACGCTAATTAGTTGCGCGCAGTACTAGCTAGCTAAAAAGCTAAAAACAAACAACGCGCTGCTCAGCTTCTCTCCATCCAGCTCTAAACTGCCGGTACAAACACGCGCAGGTCTGTCTCGCGCGCGTGTCTGTCCGAGATTCTTTTGTCCCCTATGGTCCGTCATACATGGACCAAGAACCAAGAACAGAGTCAGGTGATCAGAGACAGAGCATCAGAGAAATGAATCATTCCTGCAGGAACAGAGGAAGCTGAAACACCACAAGCTTCAGGGTCAGCTGATCACCTTGTTACAACTTCTGGAAGATACAGCTCATTTAAAGGCAACATATATTTTGTTGTTTGTTAAATTTATGCTCAACAGATTTTAAGCTTCATTTTATTTAGTTGTTTTGGGAAACTTCACCTGCACTTTAGTTTTTGTGGTGGATTTTGTTGAACTATATTTTGTGCAGACTTTTTCAATCTAAATAACAGAAGGATAATTTTTATTTTTATACTTTTAGACTGAATACGTTACTAAATAAAGTAATTTCAGTAAAATTAACCCTTGTTGTTGTTTTAGTTTTTATATAATACTGCAAAGCAACATGTTAAGTTAATTTTGTCAAATGAATAACTGATTTCTGTTTTTTTTTTTTGGTTATATCACGAAATTTATCGTTATCGTCAGAATGCTCTGAAATATCACAATATTATATTTGAGCCATGTCGCCCACCCCTAATTGGGTATAAATTTCTGACAAATATTAAGCAATTGTCATAGTTAAATGCACTTGACTTGTGGCTGCGTTCGTGGCTGCTCTGGAACATTGACGTGATCTTTATAGTGGGATAGTAGCGTGTGAACTGGCGACGTAGCCGCGAACCGCTCCAAAGAGGCTTGTCTCCAGGGTTGCAGCTGCATATCTGAATCTTCTGGGTCTGCACTGTGTGCCGTTTGTGCGTCATGCCAAGGACCGAGGGGCTGGCTGAAGGTCAGTGGGCTGAATGAGCCGCTCCGGCTGGACAGCAGAGTGTGTTCGTGTGCTGCGGCGTGACAATGGCAGAATACCATGACATAAAGCTGTATCACTCGGATCTCTGTGCTCACACACAAGGGACTCTTTGTACTGTTCTCTGAGGGTGGGGTGACAGGGGTGAAGCCAAAGATGGAGGGAGGGGTGGGGCTGGATGTTTGTCTTCTGTACTGTCCTAGCGTTTTTTAACTTTCATCTCCTTTGGGACCAGTTACGTAAAACATAACAGGAGGACCCGTTACGTGAAAACAATGGGGGGATATCAGACCTAATGATCACTAATTGTCAGGTATGCGCTCCTTAACAAAATGCCTTCACACGTTAGTCTGTTCTCAGAAAACAAAACTATTTAAAAGCCAAGCCTTCATGGGAACTCTGTGATTACAATGTAGGATGATGAACCATAGTGTGATCCATCACAGATCCAACGTTGTTTGCTGTTAAGTGAACAAATGTCACGAGATAGCTGCAGCGAATCTCTAATGTCGTCTGTGTACTCTGACTCAGCCGTACAGCACCATCAATCACTGCTTTGCAGCTTTTGTGCAAGTATTTCCTCTTTCTCTTATAATTCATTAACCTCGTTGGGATTTATACAGGTGTTGATGGGCACAAGCTAACACCAGGAAACCCTCTGGAGAGTTCTGGATGTCTGATTTCAGCTAACGTGTTCATCTTGTCATGGGATTTATCATCTTGAGCTGCTGATTATTGTCATTCACACGCTCAAGAATTATTATTATTTTATTGTATTATATACCACTTTGTAAGTCTGTTACAAACAGATCTTTAATGCAGGTTTAAATCTTAAATATTATCTTAAATAATGTTTCAGTGTTCTGTCTGTACAGCACTTTGGTTGGCCTTGTCGCTGTTTTAAGTGCTCTATAAATAAAATGGTATGGTGTTTGTTTTAGCTTCAGAGTGCGAACACAGATATAGAATAAACCATAAAGTAATAAGAATCACACACAAATATTCAGAAAATCCCAGAAACAGCTTATTTACAAGCCCAGACAGTAACTCAGTGGTTGGACTTAAGATCTGGACAAGCTTCTCCACGTCAACGTTTAAAAACCTTTGAGACTAATGTGCACATGCTTACATGCATACTGTTTTTGGATCTAATGGGTAATAGGTGGCGATCATGTGCTGGTTTGTTGATCGTCTATCAAAAGAAAATAAGAAAACCTTTGATGATTTAAAACCAGTTATAAGACCATTTTTGTTGTCACTGAGTATGTATTTCCTCAAAACCAACATGTGTTATTGTCCTTCCTCTGTTTGTGGTTTGAATCCTGGACTTCTTCCTTCGTCTGTTGGGCGTCTAAGCAGATTTTTTGAAAAGGGAGCATTTTCATCGCAAACTTAGTGTCAGGGAACGCAAAATTACAAAAAAATAAAATAAAAATCTGGACTAGAAGCGCTTGTCCAGAAGATCGAGCACAGTCGGAACAATGAATAAGGCGTTATGGTGGTCACACAAGTCCTGATAGCAGTTGTTATCAAAGGTGGAGAACCCAGTCTTTGTCACAAACACCAAGTTAGGTCGCCAGAAGTGAAATAAAATAAATAAACCCATTTCATATTCTCACTGTAATGGTTACAAGAAAAACAAGTCATAATCGGAGAAAGGAATAATCTAATATGAGTTTAATCTATTTGTGTTGCCATTATTTATTAACTTTTTTAATGTTTTTGTTAGTATACCGGGGATATGTGAGGTGTCAAGTCATTGACGTTTGTTACTTTGGAGGTGAGCAGCTATAAAACGTCGGAGAACCCCTCCTGCCCTATTGAACCATGTTCTTCAGGAAAACACTGTTCTGAAATGATAAATACACTAGTTTAGTTTTCATCATTTCTGCAAAGAGTTTAGTTGTATTAATTAATTAATACATTAATAAATGTGCATTTTATTTTTACCTTACAGTAATTGTTCACTATGACTATGTTAAATGGTTGAATTCTTAGCATTGTTTATTTCTAAATTTTAAAGTTAAAAAAAAAATATATGTATTTTTTGTCAAGTTTATTTTGTAACCACTTACAAACAAAAGAGATTCACAATTTAAGTTTTTTTTTTAAATTTTTAGTTGAACATATTGAGGGGGTTTGGTGGCGCAGTTGATAAGGCTGTTGCCTCTTATCATAAAGGTCGTCAGTTCAAATCCCGGCCATGAGACCTTTCTGGGTGGAGTTTGCATGTTCTCTCCGTGCATGCGTGGGTTTTCTCCAGGTACTCCGTTTTCCTCCCACAGACCAAAAACATGCATGTTAGGCTGATTGGTAACTCTGAATTGTCTCTAGGTGTGAGTGAGAGAGTGAATGGTTGTTTGTCTCGTTTGTCTCTGTGTCCTTGTGATGGACTGGAG